TTTCGGGTTTGGAGTTTAGGGTTTAACCCAAACCACAAAACCGCCCATAAACCCTGCGAGAAACTCGCGAACCTTGTAAACCCGTGAGACGACCCAAGAAGCTACCATAAGAACTGCTTTTAAAGGAGCCTTAGACCCTAAACACCAAGAAACCACCATAAGAGCCCTGTTCCCAAGAGACTACCATAAGAACCCTTTTCGAAAAGGCCCCAAACCCTAAACCCGCAAGAAACTACCATAGGAACCTTTTTTGGCAAAACACCTGAAACCCTAAACCCATAACCCCAAGAAGCTACCAAAAGAACCCCTTTTCGAAACAGCCTCAAACCCTAAACCCTAAAACCAAAAAGAACACTTCTTAACCACCTCAAGCGTTCAGCTGGAGGTTCACGAACTGCTATGCCTGCAACGTCGCCTGGAAAGAGGAGAAAGGAGAGGGAGGTGCCTTCTTAGTGGAAGGCCGGCTGGGGAGGATCCCTGCTGTTGCTCAGGGCTCAGTGTGTAGAGTTTAGGGCAGTTTAGGGTTTAGGTTGTAGGGTTTGGGGTTTAGGGTTTAGGGTCTAGGGTTTGGGGTTTAGAGTTTAGGGTCTAGGGTTTAGGGTTTAGGGTTTAGAGTTTAGGCTCTAGGGTGTAGGGTTTAGGGTTTAGAGTGTTTAGGGTCTAGGGTGTAGGGTTTGAGGTTTAGAGTTTAGGGTCTACGTAGGGTGTAGGGTTTAGAGTTTAGAGTTTAGGGTCTAGGGTGTAGCGTTTAGGGTTTAAAGTGTTTAGGGTCTAGGGTGTAGGGTTTGGGGATTGGAGTTTAGGGTCTACGTAGGGTGTAGGGTTTAGGGTTTAGAGCTTAGGGTCTAGGGTGTAGGGTTTAGGGTTTAGGGTGTAGGGTCTAGGGTGTGGGGTTTAGAGTTTAGGGTCTAGGGTGTAGGATGTAGGGTTTAGGGGGCCAGCGCTGCCACTGATACAACAACGACTGGCAGCTGGTACCCCGAATCTCCAGGTGTTTGCTCCGCAAAGCCCTTCCAACTCTTTTTGACACACCGTTGGATCCAAACCATTAACCCTAAACCAAAAATCCTGAGCCCTAAACCCATAGCCCTGAACCTTAAAGCCCGAAGCCCTGAACCCGAAACCCTACCCGAAATTCCCAACTTGAAGTTGTTTCAGCCCGATTCCGCCCTGGCAGGTGCCTACCGCCAGAGGGGTGGCACCCTCGAGGCCCAGACAATTCCTGATAGAAGTAAGCGACTCGTAGTTATGCTTAACTTCTGATTCCGAATTCATAGCTATGCTTAGTTGTTTGATTCCAAGTTGATAGTTCTACTTCGTCCTGATCCCAAATTCGTACTTATCCTTAATCCTGATCCTTGTAAATGGACTTTGAACCCCTAAACCCTAAACGGCCCTAAACCCTATTTACACCAGTCCCAAACCCTGCCAACAACCGCAGACCCCAACACACATCCTGCCTTCCTGAAGGGATCTGAAGGGGCGATTTCCTTGGGTCACTACAGGGGTTCCTCGAAGGCTTCTACAAGGGCCACTATCCGAGGACTACTACAAGGGTCATTTGCAGGGCGACTATAGGGGATTCTGAAGGGTTGCCAAGAGTAGTAAGAGGGTTTAATGTGCGTTCATCAACCATTAGAGTAGTGTTTTTTTTGGATATGTTGGAAGTAGCGTAATGGGTCCTGGGAAATCATGTAGACCCTGCTTGAAGGAAGAGGGGACTTCGTAAGTAGGGCTGTAAGTTAAACACAGCTATACAGGCTACGATCTCCACTACTGTAGGGTACTTATAACCCCAAAACCCTAAACCCTAATCCCAAATCCCTAATCCCTAAACCCTAAACCCTAATCCCTAATCCCTAGTTTACTACAGTCCCCTAATCCTTCAGGTACACCGTCATCCCCACACCCCGAACCCCGAACCCGTTGATGATATAAATCCTGCATGGCCCATAATGAGGAATATACCATCATTCCCATAGTTTAGGGTCCTTAGGGTAATGCAGGATTTATATCATCAACAGCAGGTGCCGAACCAGGGGGTTTCGGACGTCGGGCGGACGGTGCTTTCAGCAGACATGTGAGTTTCATCAGAAATGAGCCGAGCTACGGAATCTTAGAGCTCGGCTCCTTAGTGGCAGCACCGGTTTCAAAGTCTGGCATCTGCCAGCTTCAACTTTGCCGCGGGTTTCCTGTTATGCTTTCCTTCCATATGAAGGCGGTAGGTGTTTGGGGCTGCATATAAGCTCTAAGCCTGAGAGGAGCTCAAAGCCGCATGGTGACAGGCACCTCAGTTAGCTATCTTGTCGGTTTGGTGTGATTCCTTGTGACGTTGCGTAGCTGACCATCAGCTTGCTCGTTCTTGAAGGCATCGGCACTCCCTGAATTTATTATTGCGTGCTTCTTTGGGGACCCCCCCCGTGAGTCTGCGAGACCCCAAATTGGTGTAAACTAAGACAGAGACCTCCGATTCACAGACCCCTTTTCTTCGCATGAAGGGCCCCCCAAACTGCTTGGCTTGTTGCAAGACCTACTGACTGGGTCCTTGTGGGATACGATTTTGCATTTTTGTTATAATAAAACCCCGGTGAGAATTAAAAATGATCATTTCTCCTATGGTGCTAACAGGGATTCAGTTGAGGGAGGGACGAGATTTTGTTGATCAGGGGTTTAGATTGGTATTGCGTAGTACTGAGACCTACCGCTTCCCTCGGATTCCACTTCCAGCGCTGCATGTCGAGTAAAGGGGCACCAATAATTAACCATACTGCTTTGGGGTTCCTTATGATAAGTATGGTATAATATACACCAGAACCCTATTCGAACTATAAAGGCCCCTATACTAGGTGCTTGTTTGGCTTCTGCTGCATACTGCACCCTACACCCTAAACCCTAAACCCTAAACCCTAAACCCTAAACCCTACACCCTAAACCCTAAACCCTAAACCCTAAACCCTAAACCCTAAACCCTACACCCTAAACCCGCTTGGTTGGAGAGGGGGAGCTCGATTGAAGGGCGCAAGCCTGGGCGTTTCAAGAGGCCTCCCAGAAGTGAAGCATCGGTGCACCTGGAATCAAGTCGCTTATATATGCTTATATATATATGTGTATATACATATACATGTACATATATGCATGTATGTATGTATGTATATGTTTCTTTTTGCAGTTTTAGTTTGTTGACTCTTGTGCTGATGGCAGCAGCAAGCAGCCTGCCTCTGCTGCATGCAGCCGAGCCAAAGCGTGTTACGGTATGTCCCGGGGCGGGAGACGAAAAGGTGCTGAAACTTGACGGTGAGGAAGTGGTGCTGCTTGGGGGCAACTACGTTTTGAAGACGCAGCCCTACTTCCCACCCAAAGAAGTCGTGCTTGCCAATGCCAAGCAGATGGCCGATGGGTTGAAAGCTTCCGGCTACACTCCCAAGCCTGCTTCAGACGGGGCTCCTCGGACTGCACGGCCGTGCGTTCGCTTGGGCTGCATGTGGGAGGGTGCAATGCCCAATTCTGCCGGCCCAGTGGACCCCACATGGGCTGCGAACCTCAAGACCACCATCGAAGCGTTCGCTGAACACGGGGTTTACGTCTTCCTGGATGTGCACATGGATGCCTTCTCCACGACGAACGGTGGCGATGGTTTGCCTTGGTGGGTCGGGAGCCACATGCAGAGCAACGTGACGCGTGAAAGTGCCAGTGGCAACTGCTGTTGCTGCACTACACCATCCTACATCACCAACCCGCAGAATCCCATGACAATTGTTTGTCCTAGCTGGTTGGCATGCTGCTGCAACATCCGGGGTGTTCAGACACAGGGCGATGATCCCTGGGCGGCATACGCCGTCGGGACAGACCTTGGGAACCCGGCCTCCATGACTTTTGGTCAATGCTACAGATCCCTTTTGTTTTTGGTTTAGGGTTTTTGGTTTAGGGTTTAGGGTTTAGGTTTTAGGGTTGTGCACGTCACTTTCTGTGGTTAGGTTTCCGAATATTCAGCAGGGAGCCCATAGAAGGAGTTTTGTCTGTCCGTCCCAACAGTTACTCAATAAACCCTAAACCCTAAACCCTAAACGCTAAAACCCTAAACCCTAAACCCTAAACCCCAAACCTAAACCCTAAACCCTAAGCCCTAAACCCTAAACCCTAAGGAATGTGGGGAACCTCAGCATGAGATTGAACAACAACGACAGCGCCTGGCAAGCTGGCACGCTGGTTTGGGTCACGCAGGCGCGCAGCTCCAAACCCTGGGTTTGGGGTTTAGGGAGCTTAGGGAGCCTAAGCCCTAAGCTCCCTGCACCCTGAAGCCTAAAAAAAAAACGCCCTATTCTCCAACTTGGCCTGCTGCTGGGTTCAGATTGTCGGGGTGATTTAGGCTTCAGTGGTTCGGGTGAGCAGCTGTGACTGCCAGTCAATCTGAATTGGCGTGAGTTGTTCTTGCTTTTGCCTGGCCACAGTCTTGCATCGGCAGGGGTTGATAAACTTGGAGGGTCTTGGGACTTGGTCAGTAGGGTTAGAAGTACATGCGGATATAAAAATGGGGGGATGCTGTCGCAGTCAGACACCGTGAACAAGGTCGGGAATGAAGCTGTTGGTGGTAGTGGTACCTTCATTGGACTATAACTAAGTATAACGGTAGTTACCTTACTTGCAACCCCAACTACTATGTCCCATGATCCTTTAAGTAGATAAACCCTAAACCCTAAACAGTCCACTTGGCTTACCTCGACTCGGGGTTTCGGATGTACTGCAGACAGATAAGGGCCCTGAAAGCACCCCTGGGTTCAGGGTTTAGGGATTTAGGGGTTTAGGGATTTAGGGGTTTATGGATTTAGGGGTTTGTAGGGATTTAGGGATTTAGGGGTTTAGGGATTTAGGGGTTTAGGGATTTAGGGGTTTGTAGGGATTTAGGGATTTAGGGTTTATTTAGGGTTTAGGGATTTAGGGATTTAAGAATTTAGGGGTTTAGGGGATTTAGGGTTTAGGGATTTAGGATTCTAAACCCTCAACCCTCGGTAGGGTAACCCAGGTGCACAACTATGCCGCACGGTTCTACCAGTGCGGTTCGGGAGCAGATCGGCAGGCACTCTTCGAGCCGCGTGGCCATGTTAAATGGCCCATAGAAGAGCAAAACAAGGACGCCTTCAATGGTCGCTAAGGGGTCGTATACGGGCCTTAATGGTATGCAGAGACTCCAAAACTCCTTAAGTAAGGAATATACCACAGAACATACGAAGAACCCGTTTTCAAGTTTTCGGTCTATCCTGGGAACGGACCGTAAGGGAAATATAAGACCGACCAGAAGACCCGAAACCAGAATCACAAACAAGCGCCAAGGCCCTATCTGCAGTTTCTTCGTTTCCTTTGTGGGATATGGGAGCAGCACTGGAACGTGGCTGGGTTGCTGTTCAGGAACTTAACTTAAGTTACTATAATCAGGAAATGCCGATGTATTTTCTATATATCCCGATGATGGTAACTTAAACCCAAAGCCCTAGACCCATATGGAATGGGGATATATTTTTTGCATTGCGAAAGACCACAGTGTCAACAGACGCGTCTCAAAAATCATGCACAAAGGAATTCACCAGGGAGCACCACAGTATGTACTCGGGCCGATTAGCCCGGCACAGAAATCTGCGGCCTCGCTGCAGCAGTGAGATGTACCCGACAAAGGAAAAGTCGTCTCACTAGCGGACAAAACTACATGGCAGTATGTCTAGCATGTCCACTTCCAGGGACAATCCGACTCTGCCAAAAGGACCTGGAGCCCTCTCGTTTAGGCTCACAGGTCGTATAACCTATCTCTGCGCGAATCCACTCGAGTGTCCCAGCGTTACAGCAGGATCTGCAAGCAGAGAGACGGGAGCCTCGTCTCCCAATGCCTGTCTCAGCTCTGCACGAGTGGGTTGAAGCGGGCCGCACACAAGCAGTGGGGGCGGTGCAGCACTGTATAACTGCCAACTGCCCTTGCGCAACTTCTTCGCGTTCAGGGCATCCTGGGCTTCTACCTCTTTGACCTCGGCAAGGGTCATTGGGGGCAGGAGCTCCGTGGCTCGGAAAAGGCAAGCTTTGGATCCGCGAAGATGCCTCTGAACCCGTGGCAGTGTATGGAAGAAGCGCAGGCACACAGTGCAAACAGGCTGCGGCATATACAGCCGGGCAGGAGCAACGACCCCATGCCTCCTGGCCATATGCACACCCAAGTGTTTCCGGAGGGGAAAGCTGGCAGTACAAAACGGACAGGGATACAACGCTTGTTCTGCAACCCGAACTCCATCTTGGACAACAGTCGCCCCACTGGCCGGCGCAGCAATCCACTGGTCCAGGTCCTTCAAACACTGCCTGACAGCTGCCTGAACCTGCCGCTTCCACCACGAAGAGTCATCCTGGAGGATATCAAGAAGGGCCCGAATCGGGCAATCGCTTTCAAGCAGAGTGCTGGCACCAGTGCAGTAAAGGGCAACATGGCGAATATCTTCCTGGAGCTGTCCCACCCAGGATTTGGCCGGCGCCACCTCCCACTGCAGCAGTAATAAGTGCCGTAGTTCTGCGGGCCCCCTTAGTCAGCAACCTGAGCAGAAAACCACCCCGAGCTTTGGCGAGGGCAAGGGGGGGGTGCAGGCACGAGCAGCCTGTAGAACCGCATAGGAATGCATTTTGCTGGCCGAGGCCCCTCGGGGTTGCAGTGCCCAGAAAAGGGAAACGTAGAGACGGGCCCACAACCGGCTATGGCATGCCGCATGCAACTCCAAGGTGGCAGACCCAAAAGTGAACTTTGAAGTCACCAATGACTGTAGCAAGTGCCTACGAGTGGCAACTGGGACACTGGGAATGCCAAAGAGCACACCTCGCAACGGTCTCAGGGTCCACGTCGCCTGTGCGAAACGATAGTACACTTCAGGAACCACAGTATGCGCACTTGTAACAATGCCCCCAAGATGCTTGTAAGCCTGTACTATCGGCAGGCGGTGCTCCACACCTGTAATTTGGTCGACGACAGGCAAATAGGGCTCACGCCCGAGGCCCTGCACCCCCGCAGTAGTTGCAAAACAGGCTTGGGGAGGCAGGATGGCAGCAGTTTTATCTACGGCAAATGCGAGCTGGATGCCATTGGCAGTTGCATGAGTCACATAAAGACTCGTGGCTGCACATACCCGAAGGATAAGATCTCGAGGAGTACGCGCTGCATGCATTGCCGCGAAATCATCGGCCCAAGAGGCCGGGCCAAGCTCCAACGGGCTTGCTGTCACCAGCCCAGGGTATGAGCCTTGACACGGAGGCAGAGTCGTGTGAAGATCCGCCTCCCGAAGAGCCTGGCCCACTGCAGCAGCATAGGCACTAAAGCTGACGGCGAAAAGAACATCCGCCAACGGATCACCAGGTCGTACACCTGCAGCAGTGGACACCAACGGTGAATGCCTGTCCATTCTAAACCATGTCCCCGTGTACACTTCTTGAAGAAGGCCGACAAGGTGAGATGAACAACCGCTTTCGGCAAGTGTAGCAAGCTGTGCCAGGCGATCCCTCAACTCAGCATATGCGTTACTTGGCACGCCCAGTCGATGGAACAACTTGAGCAAGACGCGATCATCAAGGGCTGCGCCGGTAAGACATTCTCGCAAGACCTGGTAGTAAGCTGCACGAACATCGTAAAAAACCAGTGCCGGCAGCTGACCATCCTCAACCGTCAGGAGCTGAAAGCTCTTAACGGAGAGGGAGATGGTGTCCACGCCTACACCTTCTCGCACCCCGCCGTGCAGACCTGGGCAGACATTCAGCAGCGCGGGGGTCACCTTGTTACGCAAGTCCCTGTGAAAAAGCTTGCCGGGGACGCTGGACAGGAGAATACTCCTATACCGCTCACACCCAAAAGCTGCCGCGGTGCGTTTAGCAAGCGTCATGAGTGCACCGCCCTTGTACTCAATGGGCTCCTGGAGGGCTAGCGTAGCCTTCAAATGGACGGCCAATAAGTGTCGCGCCGCTTCGATGGGAGCCACCCGCAGGAGTTCTGCCGTGACCCCATCAGGACCGGCGGCTTTCGAGCGCTTCAAACTGAGTATGGAACGCTCCAGGCTCGCCAAACTCGGAAGCGTGGCCGGGTCAAAAGGAAGCGGGGCCCCGCGCCTGCGTTGGTCCTGAAGTGCCAGCACCTCACTGTACTCATCAGCACTGACGGGTAGGCCCGACTCCTGTTCAGCAAAGTGAGCACTCCACCGCTGCAACCTATCCTCGCTGGTAACGGCAAGAGTACCATCGAGATGCTCTACAGCAGGAAGAGCAACAAAACGGGACTTCTTAGCAGCAGCAGCTTGTGGAAAAGCCCGCCGGACGCGCTGGTACAGCTGTTTGGGTTTACTAACATCCGCAAGAGTCACTGCTTCGGCGAGACTCGCAAGATACTTGTTGCGGTCGGCCTTTACCGAAGTGCGAAGGGATTGGCAAGCCTGTCCCAGCAACGACCAGGCCCTGGCGATGCTGATGTGAACATCGCGAAGCCAGGCACCAACCCTACCACGGGCTGCAACAGAGGCGACACGCCTATCCCGGTTCAAGGCGAAACTGGCAAGCCCAATGAGCTGGTAGCGCCTGCATAGCTCCTTCTCTTCTTGTCGAAGATAGTGTCGCAGACCTCGCCTAGCCCAAACCAACTGCATGGTATGTGCCGTAAGAAAGGCCTGGCGGGGAAGAACTGTGGTGGTCTCAGACACAGCCTTACCGGCCTCAGTCCATTGTCGGACGAAAGCAGAAAAGTGCTCATCCACATCCATGTCCCAAGCTGGGAGCGGTCGGGAGCAGAGGCGCGCATTGAAATCAGTGCGGTTCAATAACGGATCCTGATCATTCGGCCGACACGCATGGCGACGAAAAGTGGCGACCCCCCGAGGGCACTCATCAGGTTTCCGTCGAAAGGCACAAGTGAGGCAAGCAGGGATATGGTCGTACCGCTTCTGCATCGCCTCAAAGTCCGCCCAGGTGCGCGAGCCAGTAACGAAGGATTGCCAAGTTTGGGGTATGGCGATGTAATCGATTCTGTGCTGACTACCGGCGGGCGCACACCACGTCCACGAGTCCCCTGAGTGCTGATCTGGGAACGTAGAAGGAAGGCATAACTGGTGCTGCAGCACAAAGTCATGAAAGACACGGCCAGCGACAGTTTCAGTCTCTGCACCGTATCCTCCAACAGCCGGACTCACCGAGCTGCCGACACGGCCATTAGCGTCTGCAAGAACCCGCACCGGCATGTCACCCGGTAGCTTCAGAAGCTCTCTACTCCGCTTTTGCCAGAACTCCCGGACACAACCGTCAGCATCGGTGGGATCTGAAGGAGCATGGGCAACTAGAATGGCGCAGCGAAGATGAGGGGCCACAACACTGACAAGGATATGCCGAGGTGAGAAAGCCGCGACAGTGCAGTGTGTATGATCCAGGCAAAACGAACTGCTTCCACACCGGGCATACGGAAGCAGTTTATTTAGCCACAAGGCACACCCATAATTCCCGGCATCCGTGGCTGCGGAGTGAAACATCAAGTACGTGCGGTCTGGCAGCGTGGCCGTTTCACGCAGCCTGGTCTCCTGTAGGCCCAACAAATGGATGCCAGCAGCATGACACTGCTCAACCACCAAGTGTCGTTTGCCTGCAATCTTCATGCCAACTTGTGAAGTCGCCTGCACCCTTCGGGGCACAGCAGGATCCAGCAAAGTAAGGACGTTGTACGTCATGCATTTGAGGTCAAACACAACAGGCTCAGTGGCCCGACTAGGAGGCAGTTCACCCATGGTAGGCGCCTTCCGTTGACGAGTCGCACGCTGCTGCAAACAAGCTGCAGTGGCCTCAAATGCAAAGGGCCTGGGTAGGTCCGATGCAGGCGCAGTCACAAGCCAAGCCCACTCGGCTAACGGATGACGAGCTAAACGGCTGGGCCACTGCGGCAGGAGATGATCTGCCGGGGGAATCTGGTGGACTCTGGCCCACTTGGCAAAGCAATCGCTAAGCTCATTGCCAAGGTACCCGGCATGCCCTGGAATATATTCCGCATTGAAGCGAAGTCGGCTGTGCACGCATTGCCTGAGAATCACTGCAAACCAGCTAAGGCCTCGATCCCCCGAGCCATCATTAGCAGGCTTGGCCGATCCAAAAACCCCATACCCGGCCGCCTGGCAGCCAAAATAAAGCCTGATGGGGAGCTGGAAGCCTGGCGCATACTCAAACATCCATGCCAAGGCCCAGCAAAGGGCAAGCATCTCACTTTGCAGAGGAGTGTCCTGAGTTTCACCTAAGTGATACTCTGTACCCGGGGGCACCATAGTGCCATGTGCCGCACCGTAGAACAGGGTGTGACGATGGGTCTTGATCCACACAGTGAAAGCCCACCCTGCCGGACAGACATCAAGAGGGGGCTTGGTGCCCGACGCAGATCCG